CAGCAGGAAGAGAGAATGTGCCTTACAGATTACAAAATGGGATTGGGGATTTTCTTGTGTATTTCAAGTTTTCTTGCTATTTCAAACACATTCAAGTCAGAAGTTGAAACTTCTTCTCAAAATACCATATTTAGTAGCTCATTAATTCTTTGCCTGTCTTTGTTCTTTGGCATTCAGCAAGTTATAGAAGTACATGAGTGACTGACAAGTCAGCTTGGTCATGTAAGTTACTTAGCTAGTCACTGTCAACAGCAGCAAAAATACTCATTTTCTTCCTTGCATTTCTGCGTAAGGAATATGAATGCAGTAACTAGAGAACTCAGTATCTACAAACTTCACAGTTTTTTTCCTGGGTTTAGTAGGTATTCTTGGATGTCAACATAGCTGAGCATGCCTAAGGTGATAGCCCTCTAACAAAGAATTAGTCAGGCACATTTCTCTTCTTTCATATAGATGGGAGAAAAAAAAAAGTTAATTTTTTCCTCTTTACTCTGTTGTAGCAGGAAGAAACTACTATGCTACTGAACCTGGGTGGGTAGAATCTCTTTCTGTACAGGGCACCTGTCTGTTCAGCCTATGTTTTGCCTAGGACTTTAAAGAACTTGAAATGGAGTGCAACAGCAGTTTTGAGTCTGTGTCCGTTCCTTGGTGTTCTGGTTTGAGCTAAACAAAACCAATTTCCATTTGAAATGAAGTATCCATTGAAGATGTCATCTCATTATTTCTGAAATTCTTATATTTTCATCGCAGGCCCAGTTGCATGGCAGCTCCCTAGTGAGGTATTGCAATTCCTTCGAATTCCTCCTTTCTCAGATCTTTTCTTGGTCTTGATGTACAGTGTTTTTCAGCATTCACCTGCTTTATGCTTCTGCTGGAGATGCTGTCTTTTGATACTCCTTGAGAGGATCTTTTTTATGGGAGAAGTGAAACTTGGCATGACCTCACCTTACCGGAGTGAGCTTCCATGAAGCCTTTCATAAAGAGCATTTAACTTTTAACATCTTCTGTAGGTTTTTTGATATGCCTGATCAGTAATACTAGGTTAAAAAGGTTTTATCTATTGAAAAACAAAACTCAAGTATTTTCCTATTTGCTTTTGTGATTCTCTGAAGGACTCGTGTATTCTTGGGTAAGAGGTACTGTGCTGAAGAGTTTTCTAAGAATATTGCTTTAGTTCAGACTCCACTAAACTCTCAAGTTGTTCAAATTATAGGAAGTGAAAAGGAAAAAAATATGAAGATGAAGACTTTTGCTAGGAAAAAATCCAAGTCTGCTTTCTGAATTTTTTCTTAAGTTGAGAACTGATCTCAAAAACCCACAAAAAGAAAGCAAAATCTTCAAGTAATTGTTAGCTAGGGAACCGTTCTTGTAGCTGATGCTAAAAGAGATGCCCTTTTATTGTAAAAAAATTAATAAAAAATTAAAGTAGAATTCTTGGTTGGCTACCTTTAAAATTGAAGTAACATTTGTTTCACTTGTTTTGATTGCAAACTTTTCAAGATCATATACTGTCTCCTACTTACTGTAACTAGCACAGTTTCATTTAGGGCCTCTGTAAACAACTTCTAAGACTAGTGACCAAATTTGAGAGTTGTGTTTATTAATCTCATTATCCTTTTATTTTAGAACAAGTTAATATATGGCTGTTTTTTTTAATTTGCAGACTGGTGTTTGGGTTTCATGTGTGGTGGGATTTTTCTGTTTGTTTGTTGGGGTTTTTTTACATTAGGAAACTAGTTCAGAAGATTTCAAAATATGTAGCCATGTTACACCCCTGCCTAGAGCATACAACCTTTCAGCATTCACATATGAGAATTTGTTATAAGAGGAGGATAGAATTTCAGTCAGGATAGGTAAACTCTTGAGAGACTAAAATAACAGTTGTCTTATTAGGAACCTCTCTTCAATCTATCTAGGAAATGACCAGTTTGGTAGGTAGTTGTCTGTAGGAAAGTCCAATCCCCTCCTAGACACCCCAGTAAAGCCAAAGTAATTTTTTGTCATCAATCACTGATTTTTTTTCAATTAAATAATATATCTGAAACCCAGATGCTTTCTTGCTATCTCTCTTTACTGAGTTGATATTGTAAGCAGAGTAGACTATGTAGCACACTCAAACTCAGATTACAAAAAAAGTGTTGCTTTCTGAAGTATGGTTTTAAGATGTACATACTACCTGAACCTGCAGTTTCTTTTTATTAGTAATTTTAAATCTATCCTGTCCTTTCAAAATCTGAAAGGTTTTCTCTAAGAACCAAGTTTAATGGTGCAGTAAACTTCTATGATGTCCTTGCTATCCCTCAAGTTCTTCAGGAAAGAATGTGTATTTGGATTTCAGCTGTTTTCTTAAGGAAATAAAACATACTCTGTTGACTGCCTGCCCGCCAGTGTTACTGTTTTTTACTGACTTCTGAACTTCTTGGTCATTTTCAACTACATTTAAGAAGATTCTTAGAGCGTTGTTAGTATATAGAGTAATGAAAATTACCATCTGAGTAGAGGAAGGAAAAATATTGAATGTTTACAAGAACAGAAAACTAGAATGAGCTTGACCCTTATTCCTGTTTGTTGATCAGTCAAGTTAATTAAACTAGAGGGACTTTTTACAAGGGCATGTAGTGACAGGGCAAGGGGTAGTGAGTTTGAACTGAAAGAGGGCAAGTTTAGAGTGTTAGTGGAGTGAATACAGGAAGCATGGTGTTAAACAAACAGGTGTTCTTAGTTCTGTTATGTAACAGGATTATAAGGTACAGGGTGGGAAGTTGTGGTTCCCTGCTGATTTCCACTGCCTTTTTGGTGTTGTTTGTAAGGAGAAATTAAGTCACTATTATGACCTGAGAAGCAGTATTTTTTCATTAAAACTAGAATACTAGTGTGGAGCACTGTTTTGGAAGGTTTTACCTGTCTGTTGACCAGCCAAATACACATGTAAGTCTGAACTATCAGTTAAACCGGTCATTGTGCATTGCAGTCTAATGATCACACATACTATTAACATATGGATTTATTAAGAACATGGATTTAAATAGTTACAAGGTACTGCAGAACACAAACTGAGAATGTTTTAATCCTAAATGTAAGCTTGGAATTAAAATAAATCATTACAATTAGTCATAATTACACATCATATTTACTGCTGCCTTCTCTTGCATTCTGTCTGTAATCTTGACAACCATGAGCAGAAAATATCAAATTATATCATACAAATGTGTCATTTAGCCTTTTGTTATTTGAATAATATCATACACAGCAGTGTGCTCAGGTAGCCAAGAAGGCCAACAGCATCCTGGCCTGGATCAGCAATAGTGTTATCAGCAGGAGCAGGGAGGTGATCATTCCCCTGTACTCCTCAAGGTGTACACACCTCGAGTACTGTGTCCAGTTTTGGGCCCTTCACTAAAAGAGGGGCATTGAGGTGCTAGAGAGGGTTCAGAGGTGGGCTGCCAAACTGGTAAAGGAATTGGAGCATGTGTCGTACGAGGAACGGCTGAGGCTGTTTAGCCTGAAGAACAGGAGACTGAGGGGAGACCTTATCACTCTCTACAACTGCGTGAAAGGAGGTTGTAGCGAGGTGGGGGTTGGTCTGTTCTCCTTAGTGGTGAGAGATAGGACAAAAGGAAAAAGGCCTTAAGTTGCACCAGAGGAGGTTCAGGTTGGATATTAGGATGAATTTCTTTACTGAAAGGGTTGTCAGGCACTGGAACAGGCTGCCTAGGGAGGTGGTTGAGTCACCATCCCTAGAGGTGTTTAAGAGGTGGGTTGATGTGCTGAGGGGCATGGTTTAGTGGTGTTTAGGGATAGGACAAAGGTTGGACTCAATCTTGGAAGTTCTCTTCCAACCAAAACTGTTCTATGAATCTATGATATTGAGAAACTAGAGGAGCATCAGAGCTACCTTTCACTGTAGATCCTTAGAGACTGTTCTGCTGGGTTAGAAGCAGTATGTATGTGTATACATAATTCATGGAGTAAATACAGCTGTCTTGTGTTTTAAATCAACTATGTGAAAAGTAGAAATTTTAAATCTACATGCCTGCATCTCTTTAAACTTTCTAAGTAGCTATAATCATGACTCCTAATAAAACATCTTAGAAAAAAAACTTTTTAGGTCCTAGAAAGTATGTCTGATGCCATCTGCTGATAATAATTAAGAAATATTTGCTAGTGATTCTAAGTTCTGAGACCTGATACTTACCGCAGAATATGCTAAATTGCACTTTAAATGTGAATAATTACAAATTTCCTCTGTATAGTGCAACTTTACCATTGTGAGCTTAGTTACAGGTCTCTACATGTTTTCATTGCATACTTGTATAATAATACAGCCATTGAATGTAAGTGATTAGACTTTATGTAATACACTTCAAGTGTGCGTACCATATTCTGATCACTCAGGAGTCTTATATTAATAAAACTTTGTATAAAAGTTGTATTTAAACTTTAAAGGTTTATTTTCTTTCAAAAAGTAGTGTGGAAAAAAACACACACAAAAAAACCCCACAAAACCCACAAACATACCACTTTTCCTTATTTCCTTTGAATATCTAACATATCTCATTTCTGCTCTATATCATTTGGAGAGCTGTAGAAAATTATTTCTAGTTTCAAAATACTTTAAATTACTTCTTTTCATAATACAGGTTATGTATCCACAGCTTCATTCTCCTTTAGGAAGCAGAGCAGCATAAATGGGGATGAATGAAGAGCAGCTTTCCCATACCTCTGAGGGTCAAGCTCTTTGCAGTGGTGCCTTGAAGATTACAGACGAATTCAAACGAGAGCTTCTTTTTTATATAGGGAAAAATGAGGACAGGCAAGCAGTGTAACAGGCTACCCATAGAGGTTGTACGGTCTCCATCAATATATAACTGGATAAAACTCAGCACAACTGAATTGATCTCATAGTCAACCCTGCATTGAGCAGGCACTTCTGCTGGAGACCTCCCAAGGTCCTTCCAACATTTAATGACTTATACAGTAGAACAATCCAAGTGATAGCGACTCTATTTGTGTTTATGGCAGTTAAGCTTAGACCAGCTGTGGCTTAGCCCTGTAGACTGGATATGCATTAGCAGTAAGAGAACTTCAGGTGCACCCCTGATGCATCTTCCCGATACTATGCTCCAAGATACCTTCCCCCACGCAGTATTACCTTTTTAGAGTAAAGTAACTCAGAATCTAAATTGCTAATATCCATAGCAGTTGAATATACGAGAAATTTTGCTGCGTTTTTCCATACAGAATATTTAGAAATTCTTAGGAAAAAAAAAATCAAATTAATACTAAGGAAAATATTATAAGAGTAAAAAACCACAAATCCTTTGTTATTCCAGCTATGTCAAAGTACAGCTTTGCTTGTAATGGATAAGTAGGCCTTTCCTGCAAGTGTCTAAAAACAGTTCATGCTTGGACATTAGCAGTATGAAGAGTCTAAAATGGAATAGAAAGATGACAGAAACTTGGCGGTTCTGAAAGTGTTTTCTCTTGAAGTTTTATTATAATGCTGGAGATGATGATTAATAAGCAGAAATTTATTCCAGGCTATTGTGTTTTCCAGTAAATGCTGGGCATCCATCGTGCTCTGTAACGATCTTTCCCATTTGCACTGATGATCACCTGTTCTCCAAAAAATCTTCAGTTTTTCTTGGATGCGTGCAACAAATTTTTCTATATAAGTAGGGTCATTCTAGACCAGATACCTGGTAGGTTATTCCGTGTTGTGAGAGGTTTTATTTATTTATTTATCTATCTATTTATTTATTTCATTTTGTATGAGTTTCTTGATTACTGGCTGTCAGATTTTTGTTTGCTTGTGTTTGAGTTTGTTTTATATTGTTTGTTATTTGGGTTTTTTAAGCTAAAATAATAATCAGTAGTTTTCATTGTGTAAACCCACAATCCCCCTGTTATGCAGGCACTTGTGTTCCTAGACAATTCAGTTTTTCAATTCCATTTCTTAGCTTCTGTGTTATTTTTTTATCTTTTGCATATACATTAGCATTTTTACACCTGTTGCCTTACTGCTTCAATATATTTTGTTGAATTTTTTCATTCCTTGTAACTCTGTCTCTAGGATGATAAAATTTCAGTCAGACATTTATTGGATTTATTATTTAGGAATAGAAAAATACCAATAAACAAAGAATATCTGTGGCTGTGTGTTATGTTATGGGGAGAGGTAGTTTTCCTCCATCACTTAGAATTTCACCTCATACCTCTCCTCTAGAAACTCCTACCAATTTTAGAAATTTAGGTAGAGATCTGTTAGAAAGATTTTCTGAAGATACAGCTTCAACCCATTAGCGTACTTGTTTTGTCATGCCTTGAAAAAGGTCTCTTGAAGCCACGATGTCTTTCATATACTCAGTTTTTGAAAATGTTGAAGTTTCACCTTATAAGCATTGCTGAAAGACCAACCAAAAGGTATTGGCAAGAATCATATGAACAGTCAGCTGTCCTCCTGTGTGCTTTAGACAGCAGATCGCATATATGCATGTTGTCATTTCTTGGAATACTCTTGTTGGTGGAAATGAATTCTCAAAATGTAATATATATTGTATAAAACTGAAACAAATAAAAACAAATCTTCTATTCATTTATGCTAAACTTGAGCAGCCTTTGAGTAGCCTCTTTGATCTCCTTCACTGTTCGCTCTCTTGCTAGTAGATGGGTGAAGCTTCATTGGCATAAAATGCTTGAACAAATATGCTGAGTGATACTCCAAACTACCTATTAGGAAATGTACACTTTGTTTGCAAATAACTACCAGATCCAATCCTTTCAATTTCTCCACTTCCGTGAACAAAAACCTCAATTTATTGTCTGTATTATCAGTTTCAGACTAATATAATATCCCAGTAACTGCTACCATGTCCTTTGGTAGTTCTTTCAACCAAGGTTGACCTGAAACCTAATTCTTCTCTTAAATCTTTGAAATCCCTGTCCCTTCTTGCTGAAATCTGTTTTACTTGCTATCTATGAACCCAAGGATGGGCAGTGGTTAAAACATTTGAAAAGGTATTTATAGTTTGTGTGTATGGAGTTGAAAGAAAGAATGAAGACCAGGATAGTGAAATGAGTTCTACTGCCACTTTAAGGAAGAAAGATCTTTGAGTTTGGGCAGTTCTGCTTGTCTTGAAGTGTTGCAGTCCCCAGTGCAGTATTGCACTGAGTAACATGACTTACTTTAAGAGAGCTTCTTAATTGTATTGATATTGACACTAAGTTCCTTTTTTCCTTTTAAGATCAGTTCCTAAAAAATCCAAATGTTCACATTAGGAAAAGGTCTAATATACAGAACTGCACTTTAAAATTAATTATTTTTGTTATAGTTGTTCTTTGAAAGTAACTTCTTTATGTATTAATTCATAGCTTTATTTAACTTTCACTGGTTTTATTCAAAATTCTGTGTTTTCAAAAATGAAATTTCTGCAAATGAAAATTTGCCAACAATACAGATTCAGACTCCCATACTTGCATTATTTATCTACCTACAAAGTTTTAATTGTATGCTATGACAGAAGAATAAGGTAAAAATCAATGAATGCTACAGATGTCCTTCCAAATGACATTCACTTAGGAATGCTCATATGAAAAATACTAGACATCTGAATTAATGTGTTCGTTACACATGTTTATTGTGCTTGTAGGAGTTATTTACTTAAAGTCAGTAAGTTTGGACTTTTCTAATGCATCTGTTGCCTGTCTTGTTCTGTTTTTATTCCTAGATCTTCCTCAGAACTGTGATCCTAACATTCCCCTAGTTGCTCAGGAATTAATGAAAAAAATGATCCGTCAGTTTGCGATTGAGTACATTTCAAAAAGCAGCAAAATTCAAGAGAACAGAAATGGTTCATCATTTGAACCAAGTCTGATATGTAAAAGTATCCAAATGAACCAAACGGAAAACTCCCTTCAGGAAGAACAGGATAGCCCTCTAGACCTCACTGTGAATCGAACTCAAGAACAGAACACTCAGCAAGGTAAATTTCTGCATCTGCTTGTCTATGTTTTGCTGTCATTTATTACCTTATGTCTTTTTCCTTTCAAAAAAAAATACATGTGCGTTGAAGAGCTATATGTTTTGTCTTTCTGTAGTAGTAATCAGTGTATGTGGGGAAAAAAAATCTATGTCATTAAAATAATGTTGAAGAAAAACTGGCATTGCATCAACTAAACACTTAAAGAAAACTCATACATTTTCCTGTAAACACCAAGAAAAATGTTATAAGAATTGTAAAAAGAAAACAAATGCACCCGCTCCCACATTCTTTCTAGAAACGTTTTTCATATTGTAAGTTAGCAGATAAATATTCTCATTTCTAAGTGCCTATGTTAAATAAGTGGCACTAGAATTTCTTAGCTTTAGAATACTGAATATAAGCTCATCTGTGGCTGTCACAGGCAACAGTGGTTAAAAATCTTGTTGAAGAAATGGCTGTTAAGAAACCTTCTAAGAAAAATAGATCCTGGAATTTCAGAGACCAGCGGTCATTCTGCATCAGCCCTTTGACGCTTTGATACCTTACATACAGACAGGTTAGAATGATGGAAAAAGATTAATTTGAGGGGAAACTTTCATACTTCATGCCTTAATTATTGCAGATCAATGCAGATTTCTTGAGAGTAAAGCTAGAAAACGGAAAATGAAGGCTGTCTCACTGTCATTTACAAAAAGGAAATAATTTCTTTACCTCAATGAATACAAAACTGATAACAATATAATCACAAGAGTGTTTTGGACTTCGAACTTGGTGTGGATTAGCAGCAATTTTAGGAAGCGATTGTGCAACTGAAAACAGCATCAAAAGCAGCTTTTGTATTTTACAGACACAAGGCTCTGTGTTAATCCATTAGTACTTCAGACCAAAGGGAAAAGTTTACCTGTATGTCATATACCATACTAAAAGAAGCTAAAAGAATGTAGAACTGCAGAATTAAGTTTCTTAAAAATGTACATTGGGCAGAGTGAAAGCAGATTTTTTTATGTGTGGCTAATGATGCTGGTTTTAATTAGATGACAACTTTTGTGGGAGAGGGGGAACTCTGGCATGGATTTACTTTGCTAAATGTACCTATACTAGATTAAATTTTAAGCATCCTTTTCACTGACAGCAAAAGAATTAAGAAATTTTAGAGTTACTGCTTTTATTCTGCATGTTTAGCAGAAACTGGTTCATGCCTGTGTTTAGCAAATACTTTGTGCAGCTTAAATCCTGAGAAGCTACCTGTTTTGCTTTGACATACCTCTGCCCTGGATGATATGCAGAATTTAGAGATTTATAATTGGCCAGGTCAAAGCACGTTTCTTTGACAAGGGCAATAAAAAGTAGTTTCTTGATATTAACGCTGTAGCCTGTTGCTTACAGATGATATATGATCAACAGCTGATTATAACGAATAGCTAGGTTAAAATGTTCATAAGGAAGGAGCAAAGTCCCCAACAACAGGTTCTGGTCCTTGCTGAGCCCAAATAAACCTTTGAGGAGTGAAAGGACAAAGGGAAGGCAGAGAGTGAACAGGGCAGGGATAGAAGAAAGTTCGACTTAGTTATTTGAAAATCCATTGATCTTTTGTCAAAGAAAAAATTGAAGTATAGAGAGATTGAGGTATTTAAATCTTTTTCTATGTTATTTGAATTTTTCTTACAATGAGACTAAACAGCAAGTTTAGGATTGTGTTTCTTCAGCAAGGCATCTGAGGCTAAAGTAGTAAACTATGTATGCTGAACAACTATGTAAAACTTATGTACGGTGTAAGATACTGTAGATTCTCAGAACTTACACTGCCATGTTTCCTGGAGTGCTTTGCAGATGTTAAAGATACCAGTCTCGCTGTGAAGTTTAGACCTACTGCAGTGCGAGAAAATATTGAAACAAGACTGTAGCTGGAGAAAGGTTTCAAGCCTTGTCTACCAGGGAAGCTGTATTGTGTTTCCTGTTTCTCATGAACGTAACGATTTTGAACTATCTTGGCTTTCCACTGTAGTTGTAGCAACACAAGCAAATAACATCAAGATGAAAAAAGTCAGTCTGCTCTTTTAATTTCCATTGCATTCGAGGTGCAATGATTCATGAAAAGTTCTTCCAATTAGCTATTGTCAGAGACTGTACTATCCTACTTACCCCTCACTTGTGTCATTTCCCTAAAGAAAGCTTGAATGTATTAATTGCTTCATGCTTACAGTAAGGTATTGTGATTTTTATAAATTAGATTATTTTTGAAAATGTATTATTCTGGGTCTAACACTATACTTTTTCAGACTGACGAATTGTAAAAGCTTTACTGTGGTTCCCTTCTTAGTAGTGTCATGCAACTCTTCTCATGATTCGCTATTTGTAATTCCTGTTACAATTTCCAAATGAAGTGGAAATAACAGAGTAGGAAATTCAAATTTGATATTGCTCTGATTGATCCTCAGATTTGAAATATTGTTAATTCAAACCCTGTGAAGCAGATAGTGACTTAAATATAAATACTTCAGATTTGTATTTACAGTAGTCCTTTTTTAAAATGAATGACCTAATAATAAAACAGACAGTCTTGTTCTTTTACTATGGCAGTGATTCTTGGACTTAAGAGGAAAGAGTAAGCGTTATTTTCCAGATGACTGGAAGTATTTTTTTGCATGGAGCAGATGCAAGCGAAGTGCTAGGCCAGTACTGAAAAAAGATTCTGCTACTGAACATATCTTTATGGTCTTCATTTAAGAAAGCTTCTTACTTTCTTCTAGGATCAGTGGCCCATTTCTGAAATACTCCCGAAATATTCAGTTCTGACACTTTCAGACCTGATACCCCTGTGTATTGGGTTTACATGGGAAGGTTTGATAGCTGGGGAGGGCTGCAGGGGTGACATCTATGAGAAGAGGTCAGGGGCTGCCCTGTGCTGGGCCCAGCCAGCTCTGCAACAGACCCACAGCAGGCCAAAGCAAAGCACGCATCAGAGAGCTTTGAGGTGTCTCTGTGAAAATATGTTCAGCAATGAACAAAAATGCTTGACAGAGGAGTGAGAAGCAGTAAGGTGAACAAAAAGGTCAGAGCTGGAGGGGCAGAAGGTGCTCCACACACCAGAGCCAGTGTTTCCCTGCAGTATAGGAAGACCATGATGGAGCAGGTATTCCTCTGCAGCCCATGGAAGAGCCTGCACTGGAGTGGCTGGATATTTCCTGAAGGAACTGTGGTCTGTGAAGAACTCACAACAGAGCAGGGGAAAGGTGTAAGGAGTAACGAGTTACAGAGGGGGGTTTTGCTGACCATAACCCCTGATCCCAGTGCCACCTGGGGATGGGGGAGAGATGTAGAAGAGTTGGGAGTGAAGTTGACCCTGGGAAAAGATGGGATAGGAACGGTGCTTTACTTTGTCTTTTTTCTTGTAAAGCAAATCTATTTTAATTTATGGTAAATTAATTTTCCTCGAGTCTGTTTTGCCTGTGATGGTAATTGGTAAGTGATCTCCCCATATTTATCCTGATGACCTTTTTCATCTTATTTCTGTTTACCTCCATTGTGGAGGGGGGGTAAGAGAGGGTCTGGGTGTGGGAGTCTAGCTACTGGCTAAGGTCAACCCATTTGACCCCTGGTGCTGAGTATTTAAGCACTGGCATCCAGGTATGTCTAGCTGGCACCTGACTGATAGCACAGTCCCAAATTATACTCTGCTCTCTTCCACATGTGCAGCTGTGGTACTTAGCAGGGTGCTTAAATTCTTGTGTGCCTTGCTGGTAACTAATCAGGTAATTACTTCAGTGTCAGTCAAGTGGAAGCAACAATCTCCAGAATACCTGTATCTTGCTCTTCTTTCCTGATCCATGTAACTCTAAGACTGTCCAGGCCTTGAAAAGAATACTGTGTACAGTGAAAGGATATAAGCTTTGTGTGCACAGCATCTAACAAAAATGGAGTGATATTGTGTAATTTTGCAATATTAGTTGTCTTCCAAGCTAAGCCAATGAAAAGCAGCATCCTTGCAGAATAAAACATTCAGTGAGGAACAGTCTTGGAATATCCTGCAGGAACCTATTGTTTTCTCTGCGGTCATGATGCTCAGCTTTTTGGGGAGTATTCCCAGCAGCAGATAACTGATGTGGAGGCTTCTTTCCCTTGAGATGGGAAAGTTGTTCATGCTCAGTATGCTGAGGAGAGCGACTTACAGGAGGCAGAAATATAAGCTGTATGAATAAATGGTCTGTTTGTTTAGCTACACAAGCTTATTCTTGCTGCATCTTCTAGGAACAAACATAACATGTACATAGCAGAAAAATGCAGGAAAATTTGCACAGATGTCCTTGTTCCATTGATTCATCATAGACTGGAGGACATCAGAAGGTAGCTGGCAATGCATGACGTTTCGCTGCATGAACTTTTTACAGCTCTCCTGTAGCTTTGTTGTTGGCTATGATTGAAGAAGTAGGAAAAATAAGGATAATCCAAGACAAAAAATTTAAATTATTTAAAATAACATTTTATAATCCAGTTTAGCAATGTGCATGTGACTTCACCAAAACTTGTAGAAAAATAAAGACTACCAAATGGATGAGAATATCTTGTATGAGCTGTAAATACAGCCAAGAAACAGTTTAATACTTCTGCATGAAAAGTTAATCCTAAAAAGGTGTGGTTTTTGAGAGGAATAGATGTTTATTTCTTCTTTGGCTGCTCTGGTGGCTAGGAGCCAAGCGCCTTGTTAGATTCTTGCTTGCTTCCCCCTCAATGACACAGGGCAGAAAGTGGGAAGAACAGAAAGGGAGAGCTCATGAGTTGGGAAAAAGAAATGGTCATTGCTTACCACTTGCCAACATGGGCAAAATAGACTCTTCTTGGGCAGAATTAAATTATTGCCTAGTAAAATAAATCTTTATTAATTCAAGTAGTGGAAACAAAAAGAAACATTATGCCACCACCTTTCCTCCCCCTTTTCCTAGGCTCAGCTTCACTCCAGATTCCCTTATGACCGCCACTGTGGTGCAAGGACATGGGATGTCCACGGTCTGTACCTCTAGTGGTTTTTCATAGATTCATAGAACGGTTTCGGCTGGAAGAGACCTCCAAGATCGAGTCCAACCTTTTCCTAGCCCTATGAACAGCACTAAACTATGTCCTTCAATGCAACATGTACCCTTCTCTTAAACACCTCCAGGGACGCTGACTCAATCACCTCCCTGGGCAGGCGGTTCCAATGCCTGACAACCCTTTCAGTAAAGAAATTCATCCTAATACTAACCTGAACCTCCCCTGGTGCAACTTAAGGTCATTTCCCCTCATCCTGTCACTCATCACTAGGGAGAATAGACCAACCCTCTGCTTCGATACAACCTCCTTTCAAGTACTTTCCTCTGCCCTTGGGCTACTGTCTGCTGGTTTCCTATGCTTTTCATTCCCTTTTTCTCTCTCCCTCTGGCACTTTTTGCCCTTTCCTTGAGTATGTTTTCCCAGAGGTTGTGCCCAAATAGCTTCTGGGCTCAGGTCTATTGGAAACAGTGGGACCTGTGTCCTGGCCTCTCAGCACAGATGCTGCCACGACCTTGCCATGAACACCCACTATATAGCCATACGTTTTTCATCTATCAGGTCTTTCATTTTACAAAACAACACATCAGGTCAGCAAAAAAAGGGGCTAGTCAAAGTGATAGATAGAAATTAATAAAACGCTTCAGTGTTCCTACTGACAGTTCTCCAGAAACATTGTTTCCATGTGCAGCAGCAGAGAAAATAGCCGGCAAAAGGCCAAGTGTCACTCGAAAAGGTATCCAACACAAGGCAGTGTCATTTTGTGTGATGGGTAAGGGAAAGGGAGAGTTATTTACTAAATCTCACCATACTAGAACCAGGCAGATATTGCTGAAACTGCTTAGGAGAGAAAAGCAGAAAAGGAGCCGCTTTTGCACGACAGTGTTTTAACATCAGGAGCTGCTGTGAGAGAAGGCTGTGGAGAAGGATGGTGTTGCTGGGTTCAAAAAAATAAAAACACAAAAAAAACCCAGAGAAGTTTGCTAGAATCAGTGCAGAAATACTAATTTTGGGAACTTGAGGGTGACCTTTACAGGTTCTGTTGCTTGCTCCTCTGCCCTCTTTCGTTAGCATCATTAGTCTGGAGGAGTTTCAAGTCATTGTGGTCCTGATTATTTTGAAGATGACCTTTGATCACAGTTATATCTTGGTGTTGCTTCACCTAATGATCTAGTGCTGAGAAGCAAAGGCCAGAGGTTGAGCTATTTCTTTGAAGATCGAAATCGTTCAATTTTCACAGAAATAACTTTATTAGAAGACCATGAGTGGCAGCCCTGAAAAACTTCCAATAACATTTTTCCTATATTATCCGCTGTTACACAGCGGGTGACAGTTTATGAAGACTGTCATCTAAGTCATGGCTTCAGCTACAGCATTGGTGTGAAGGAGAGTTACTCAAACAATTTTTCTGACTTCTTATTTGAGTGGCATTTGGTCTGTTCAACCAATGTTTCATATCTGCATCTGAGGCTGTGGGAAAATGTATATATATTAGTTGACTGATGTTTTAGAAATAATACACAGTACCATGAAAATATTACTGATGTAAAAAGGACTAGCATAAGATTGCTTGTAGGATTGAATATTGAGCTACAGGTTGAAACTCAAAACTGAATTTGTACACAGAGCAACCCAAATTTGAAACAGGGAACCAAGGAAGAAAGGTAGGAAATTAAATGTATTTAAAAGAAAAAAAATAAAAAACACTTAAAATTTGGAGGAGTATTTCAGATGCTAATTTTTCAATGTTCTTAAATACTGATTTATTTTTTTAAATGTGTTTTCCTATTTCAATACTTCATAGACTTCAATAGTGAATTACAAAACATGAATTCAGCATTTGTCCCTGTGACTTAACAGAATGGACACCCACTGTGGTTTAGATCTTTCTGTTTCTCTAGTTTCATTATTATGTGTGTGAGGGTGTGGCAGGGGGGAAATGTATAAACAGAACCTTTAATGACGTAAGTCTCATGTGCTTAAAACTACACTGGGCTTGAGCTCTCTTCCCTGCTTTCTCTTTCGGTAGCCTCTGGTTTGGTAACTGACCCTGCTCTGGGCAGGAGGTTGATCTAGAGACCTCCCGAGGTCACTGGTTGCCTGAATTATCCCGTAAGCCTACAGTTTAGTTACATCAACTTTAACTTCAGTATTGGGCGTATTTGCTTACAATATGTAAATATGAATATGTGAATAATAATAGTATCAAATGCATTGCTTTTGGTTACTTTGAAAGTAAATGGTGCAATATACATGCTTACCTGATTTTTAGGAAAGCAATCACATATTTCTATTTAAGACAGATTCTTTTAAACTTCCTTATTTCTGAATGGGTTTATTTTCCCTCTTTTTTTCTTGATTTTAAAAAGTTTTGTTATTTATCAAATATATAGAACGATTTACTGCTGGCTGATATTGTTAAAGGAGTAAGATGTCAGAAATTTTACAGATTTGTGCCATAGATACAAACTTTTGCTAACAAAAATCTCTGAGATCATCTTTATAAACAGCTGCTATCATCACTACTTTTTCTTTGCAGGGGATGGAGTGCTAGATCTCTCTACAAAGAAAAGCGCAAGGTTGGAAGAACCAAAATACGATGCATTGTGTTCTGAAAACTCAGTGTCTGGGTAAGCAATATTTAGGACTCTCTTTGGCTTACGTGACAGTCAATCCAGGTTTTTCTTCTCTGAAGTGAGGTTTTATGTTCATAACATATTTGTATATACGGACACACACACGTGGTTCCTATTTTGCTTTCAGAAAAAATTTGTCACTCATAAGTGTGTGTCTATGTATATATCATATGTTTCATTTGTCTTTTTCCTTTTTTTCTGTTTAAAGAAAAGTTATCAGAACAATCACCAAACTTTAGTTCATGTTACTAAAAATGAACTGAAAATTGATTATAAACACATTAAAAGTAATAGGATAGTAGAAGAAAACGTAAATATATTATTTCAGAGTCTATTTAGGAAACTTCAATTTTGGACAAAAATGGTCATGTTAATATTTAGATTTAAAATATTCTTCAACTAACATGAACAAGTTCAATGACTATTATCTATAATATTCCTTAATAAGAGAGCGAGAGCAAGCGTGCGTGAGAGAGAGCTCTTAATGATTGTACTTATGCTTACATCATGGTTCTGACTATGGTGTGTTGTGGCAAAGAGTTAAATTTCTTTATTCAGCAAGAGAAATGTTATTGCATCTGCTGAAAGCTGCCACAGAACTAGTGAAACGCATTGTTTTGTTGGATTTTGTTATGATCTTGGCATCTTCCCATCCACTAGCCATAGCAGGACCCTTTTTTCACCTGTACGTCTTACCAGATAACTTACTACAACTAGGACTACGATAGCAGTATTTGTTGAATGATGTAAAAATGCATTTTATTAATTTGCTGATATAAAGAAGTTTTAAAATGAATATGACTTTGTAATTAGAGAGCTGTGAGTAGTGGCTAGAAGTTTTTTAAACTGTGTTTTATTTTGCCAAAGTGGACCTGATTGTTAACTACAGCACTTTATCTTATTGTTGTAGAAAGCCTAGTTTTGTGTAAGTCTGGGATGTTTGTGTGTAGTTATGTACTTATTGCTGCAAATTTTCTATGAGGGGGTTGACTCTTTTATTACTTGTTTAGCGGTAACGTCACGTTTCTACTAACAAAAACTCCTTCAGGATTTGGGTATTTAACAGAACTTTAATTGTATAATTAAAATTATAACAGTGTCGCTCTGCAAGCATGCAAACAAGGAAATATAGCAAGCACATGAGAGTATTATCAAATACTGAGCTAGGATATAAAGTTCTTGGAAGGGCTGCTGTAGAAGCCACCGTATGATTTTTTTGACACACTGTCCTACCAGAACTGTAACATTTTGCTAGGATAATCATTTAACTACTGCATCTCAAAGGCTTAAAAGTATCAGAAGCAGTGATGTTACCGAAGCAAGGAGTATAATAAAGGAGTGGACCCTTCCCTTCCATAGCTGTGTGAGAGTCTCTCATACATCAGTTTACCATCGTTTCATTCCATCCATCCAGGAGACTACACAGACACAGAGAGGACTATGTGGAAAGAAGTGCTGAGTTTGCAGATGGTTTGCTCTCAAAAGCTTTGAAAGACATTCAGTCTGGAGCACTGGACATAAATAAAGCAGGCATACTTTATGGCATACCTCAAAAAACTTTACTTCTCCACTTAGAAGCCTTACCAGCAGGAAAGCCTGCACCTTTTAAAAACAAAACTCGAGATTTCAATGATAGTTATTCATTTAAAGACAGTAAAGAAACTTGTGCAGTCCTACAAAAAGTAGCCTTGTGGGCAAGAGCTCAAGCAGAGCGCACAGAAAAAAGTAAACTCAGTCTACTTGAAACCTCAGAATTAAAATTCCCAACAGCTTCCAGTTACCTCCACCAGTTAACTCTACAGAGAATGGTCACTCAGTTTAAAGAAAAAAGTGAAAATCTACAGTATGAAACTTCAAGTCCTACTGTACAATTAAAAATTCCTCAGCTAAGAATAAGTTCTGTGTCCAAATCACAGTCTGATACTGCTGGTCTTCTGGATGTTATGTACCACGTTTCTAAAACCTCCTCAGTCTTAGAAGGATCAGCTCTTCAAAAATTGAAAAATATACTCCCTAAACAGAACAAAATTGAATGTTCTGGACCTGTAACTCACTCAAGTGTTGACTCCTACTTTCTGCATGGGGACCTCTCTCCTTTGTGTCTTAATGCTAAGAATGGGACAGTAGATGGAACCTCAGAAAATACAGAAGATAGTTTGGATCGTAAAGATAATAAGCAACCAAGAAAAAAACGTGGCCGCTATCGGCAGTATGATCATGAAATAATGGAAGAAGCAATTGCAATGGTAATGAGTGGGAAAATGAGTGTTTCCAAAGCACAAGGAATTTATGGGGTACCTCACAGCACTTTAGAATATAAAGTAAAAGAAAGATCTGGAACATTGAAGACTCCGCCGAAGAAGAAACTCCGATTACCAGATACTGGCTTATTTAATATGACAGAATCAGGGACTGGCAGCTGCAAAAATAGTAGCAAGCCTGTGTAGAATAATTGTTAGCGAATTGTTTTATGTGTGTGTATGTATGTCCGTATACACACACTGCGTGAGAAATACATTTGCTCACTCTGACAGAAGACGTGAAACTACAGTTCAAAAACCACATACATGCCTTTCAAAAAATAGTTTTATTCAGGGTTTTCACTGTGGACAGAATTATAGAGTTGCTCACTTAATTCTGATAGTGTGTATTTAATATAATCCTTGTATAAATAGGTGAAAAGATTCAGGTTTTATTTAGTAGTCAATAGCATAAAGATGTTTTGGGAGAACAAGTATTTGTCATGTGAATTATAATTTTTATTTGGTGAAGAACCACTTTACCCATTCAATAATCCATCTTATTATGGAAATACACAACCAGGGGTTAGCAGACTTTTATACTTCACAGAATACTTGCAATAAATTGTAAGTAACTCAGATTATACAAATCAAGGGATTTTTTAAAAAGCTAGTTCCTTACAAGGAAGTGGATTTGTGAAGTATTAGTAGGATATATAGTACATTCTGTGAAAGGAAAAAAGTTCATCGTTACTTAAATATCCAATACAAGTAAGAAGAACATTTCATTACTAAAAATGTGTGTTTAGCAGGCATAAACTGCATTTTTTATCATTTTAAGAAAATTTTGTTGTTGGTTTAGAAAGAAATTGGTGTTTACAAAGTGTACACTTATGAAACCTGAAAAATTACTGTAGTTATAGAATTATTAAATATGAAATAAGATGGAATACTAAGAGCATAAAATAATTAAATCTTTAACATAATTTTCCTTTTTAGTTTGACAAATAAGGTAACTTGTAAGGTTTAAAAAGAAAGTTGGAATGCAACTTAGAGCATGTTCATAATGTGCACAGAATGAGCTTGAGAATGGTTTGGGTTTGTTTGGGTTTTTGTTTAAACGTGCTGGTTAGTTGATGTTATGACTACTTAAAATTTATTTAAGGATTGTGTCACACTCCTATTGAAAAACCTCACTGTAACTGTAATGTATTTGCTGCTGTGACATTTCAAAACATTTTCAGTTTATCAGAATGAATACCAAGTTACATTATCATTTTGCTAATAACCAAATTTGCAGTTCAGGGTCTTGATAGAAATACAAATATTAAACGGTGAAGCTGTTTTGAACTTTCAATAATAAAAATTCTTTATAAATTTGGTAGTTAGAAGTTAGGCAGTTCACTTTAAATACGTAACTTTTAATAGAATATAAGGGAGACCAATTACCTTCATATTGCAGTTTTTACATGGATTTCCAAGTATTCACAGTGGACTTTCTATCATACTTTTTTTTTTTCTGTAACACCACAAAGTACATGTCTACATATGAAGAATGGGGGCTTGCTTCATACATTCAATACTGAGTGCCCTTTTCCTCTCTAAATATTTGGGTTTTTTCCTGTATGCATCTAATTAGAAAAAGACTTCTCTCCAACTTCTATACAGTTGGTGCACATGCATACATTTTTTTTTTCCCCCCCGATTTGATTTATAGAGAAACTTGCCATTAAATTCAGTGGAGAGCATACTGCAATACTGACGACAAAAACTAGCTCATATTTAGTAACACTACTGAAAAATAACAACTTCCACTTTAAAACAGAGCAGTCCTTTGAAACTGCACAACCACATCTCAGTTCTTTGGTCTCTCGCATCTATACTGAATCTTTTTCAGTGCTAAGGTTTACTTGCATATTACAGAATGAATCCTTTTTTTAAGCAGAACTCTACCTGATAACATGGAGGTCACAAAACAGCAGATGTCAGGGTCATCTTTAATTTTAAAAGAATTAAGCCATATTTTGTGAGAGCCAGAAGGATTAATTTGTGAATCTGTCCCCACTGAAAGATGAAGCTGAAAAAACCTTAAATGTTTCAAGATCTGTCTTTATACAGTTTTACTTGCAAAAATTTGGGGCTTCAATACATTGCCTAATATTTGTACCATACTGATGTTTTCTACTCCTCAGACAACATTATAAATTTGATTCAGAAGTTTATATTGAAGGCAAGTTACAGAACTCTTTTTATATCATTTAAAAGATGACCTGACCAAAAAATTAACAGGATTCATAAAATCAGGGATCATTTTACTATTGACTTAACAGTACTCAGTAGTTTTGTATGTAATATTATAATTAATTTTCAACATTTTAGTATTTGTATTTATTTTTTGGTCAGAAATAGTATATTAAAATATTTTTTGATAGTTTATAGAAGATACTCAACCTGTAAGTGTTTAAAGGAACAGAATTATTTGTTTCTAATTATTAGGCTAACTTTTGATTACACAACTAAGGAAACGCAGGGAAATGTGTAGATTCTCCTTCCCCAACCCCTATGTATTCCATTAAATGTCATTTTAAATTACACATTTTGAACTGTTTTATAAATTCAGTTACCAGTCACTACTTAGTAATCGACAATTTCTGAAAATTCCTGTTTCAGCAGAATTTTAAATGAAGATGAAAGCAAGCCCTACATGCTTTCTACTTATTTGAATGTTTCTCAAGTATTTTATATTAAAAAAACAGTGCCTCTGTTTTTAGAACTACTTCTCAGTAAAGCTGTTTAAACCATTTCTGGTAGCTAATGACAATTTTATATTAAATTGTATATTAACTTTAGTGAGACTGATTTTTTTAGTTGTTTACAGTACAAATACTTGTATTTGTTTTTTAATTGCAGTATTTCCATTGTCGCAGTAATTTAGTAAAACTCTGTGGCTGCCTTGATTTTTGACAGATTTTTTTGTTAACAACTGATTTTTAGGCAATTAGTTATATTTATGCATAAATCAATTGCACTATAATTCATGAATTATTTATTACAATATTTTCTAATGAATTCCATGTATTTGTCTTGTGTTGTAAATGTACTGTAATTCTGTTTCTTCTTTGTGTTGTTATATTCCTAAATCTGATTGTATGAATTTAATCGTTTAGTTAACGTGTTTCTACGTTGTAATTTGTAGTAAAGCACTTCAATGCTTTTGCACATAAATTTACAACACTGATGTGTGATTGATTTGCTCATTCAGTAAAAAAAAAAAAAAAAGAAAGAAACAAAAACCTGTGCGCTGACTCATTTGACTTACTCCTGAGGCACAAGTTTGTTAGCAGTGGCATAAGATCAAGAACTGTACAAATTAAGCACATCATGGCTAATTTACTATGACAATTTTAGAAATAATAGCTTCAAGGAAGGATGATTTCTCAGATTTGATTCATTGCTCACAAATGAGAGATTCATTAAACTAATTTTATAATTTCCATTCCTTAGTTTGAAGCTAAAAATTTTCTATTATGTATTACAGGTATATCGCTTGAGGGATTTACTTGCTTAGTAAAGTCAGAAAACAGATATTTCTATAATTCAAATTTATGCTGTAATAGTAGTTCTATGATGTTCATACAAATACTTGAAAGTATGTTCTCTTCCCAGTTTTGTTCCTGGTCCCAGTCTGCAAAGAAGTTGCTAGATTTTTCTATCTTGTCTGTGGCTGAGACAACAGAGGGTAGAACTCTAAGGGAGGGACGACTTTGGGGAGTCCATAGTTTCATCATAATTTTTTGGCTTTGTGGAGGAGGCAAAGGTTTACTTTTTTATATGTTAAGTAACACACTGAAAGGCTGGTACTTAACCTTAGCACATCTCTGCCTTTGGACTCCCGTCAGTCCCCACTCCGTGGTATTCCCTGCCCTCCAGCAGGGAAATAATGTCATTCCATGCCTCACTTTTGTCTTCAGAGATACCATGCACAGAAGATACTGGGAGAGCAGTGCTATTGATCCTCTCAACCCCTCCCATTTCCTACCCAATTTCTCTAGCTCTATTTTTGTGTGTAATTCTTAGAAAGTGCAAGCCTGTTCTGTGAAGGAAGCAGTGGCAGTGATAGTTCTTCCTTCTATGAAATTATTGTTTAAGCCCTTTACCTTGAGGATAGTCTTAACAAGTCTGTGACAACACAAATTCAAAGGGCTATAGGAGGGAATTACAGGAAATAAAATCCCATAATCTTACATCAGATGGCGACTGGGTGAGGGGTTGATATGCTTTCAGAAATTTGGAAGATCGTTTAGGGTGTGGTGCTGTTGCGATAGAATAGATGAAGTTGTCTGTCAGCTTTAGAAACTAACACATGTTAAGGGAAATGGGTTTATAGATATTACACAAGGATAGATAACAAGTAAAGGGTGGCCAGTATGTCTGTGATAACCAGAGTATTACTTTATACAACACATTGTTCTCCACATAGCAAACTCAAAACAGTTTTGAAGCTTTTCTTTTTTTTCTTCTGTTTGGTTTTTTGGGGGGTTTTATTTACTGACTTTTAGAAGGCTGTAGGGCTCTGAAGTTTCTTCCGCAAGAGAGCATATTTTAAATAGCAGTTATGGATAGAGGTCTTTGCAATTAAACGTCTCCAGTGAAATTTCCTTAGACATACTTTGCAGGTCTAGACAGAGAGATGCCTGTCTAGAGATCTAGTCTAAAAAGACTGTGCGATAGCCATCTTTTTAGCAAATCAGTGCTTAACAAATTTACTATGATTTACAAATGAAATGTTGAAGACCTAGTGCTGTGTTAATTTTCTTTCTATCTGGCCTTTCAAAACATTTAATTAAAATCATTGTGATGGGAAGGACAATTAGTTTTTATCCATAATTGTTTTACTACAGTAAGCTTTGTTTCCACAAGTGTAGGGATATATTTCAACACCTCGTGACTCCTGAGTTTGGACTGAGTAACACTCAGACTATTCTCAGTGAAGCGGTTTTTCAAAACCAGTGACATCCTGACAATGACATGCCCTTGAATAATACTGGTTTTACTTTAGATTGCAAGTGGAAAGAGGGGTTTTTTTCAGTTTAAACGTAATCACAATTTCAGCTAGTATCTATCACAAGTATATTACGCTTTTAGGCATTAGTATCATCTAGATGCTTGACTTTGAATATATGCCATTTCATGGTAAATATTATGGGAGAGGGAAAAGAAACATGAGGAATCATTAAGCATAGTTTGCTGGATTTAAATTCTAAACTTTTAAAATCTGTGTGGGATAATAAAAAGACAAACTTGTATGTACACCTTCCAGTAACAAATCTGAAGCTAAAGGTTATTATTGATGCTAATAACATTGGGTATGAGTTAATAAATTAATAGGTAGCTTTATATAAATGCAGCACACTTAATTTCAAAAATGTTTGTTCTTTGATCCGGTACACTTGTAAATCCAATCAAGATGATTTTTTTCCAAAGTATAGGCATAAATGCAAAAAACTACAGAAGATAATAGTAGGGTGAAAAGTTAGTGTCATGTTCAGAGTTTGGTGATATGTTTAAACAATACATACTTTTCTAAAACAGAATTCTTCTAACATTTTCTGCTCATGTAATTGGTTTCAGTAAAGCATTTGAATTAGGTGTTAACTCTCTGTTGATAGTAGCTATCCAGCATAAGGATTTTGTATTTAATTGAAGAAATATCTGTATTAATTTCTACCATGGAAAATTGTCAGCTTTTCAATATAAATGATTGATTAGGTAAGTAGTGACATTAGTTTTCATAATTTATAAGAAATTAATTAAATAGTTAAGGTAGTACTTTATAAGTGATTTTATTTTTAGTTAATAACAACTGCTCAGAACTCTTTATTTAAATATAGGCCTATCCTGTATTTGAGATTTAAAGGATATTAACTTTTGTCAAAGAAATTATTTATTCCGGTGGTGATTATCTCTGTTTTTGTTTAACGAGGGAATGTGTGTGTGTGTGTGTGTGTGCGTGCGTAGCATATTGCAGTGAAGAGCCTGTGATGCACCACTATTGTTTATTTAAAAGGGAAATTTTTATCTGCAAAACCAGTAGCATTAGCAAGCGGCTACTTTTTCCATTTTCTGTTAGTCTATTAAGTCTTCTTCAAAAATACATAAGTAAAAATGTCTTTGGAAGGATCATAAAAGTATCCTGAAGAGCCTTCAATACATTTTGGTATGTCCATATCTTAGAGAGGGATTCAGGAGAGATGGATCTATTCTTGCCTCTGCCACAACCTTGGATTGTGACCTTACACAAGTCATTTGCCCTCTCTGTGCCTCAGTTTATGAAATGGGAGTAACACAAAGATTCCCAGGTT